GTACCTTGATAGAAAAGGATAGAATAGAATAGGAAAGGAAAGGTTAAATTTTAAGGAAAGTGATTATATACCCATTTTGCAGTTCTGGATAATAAACTCCTGTCCATTTTGAATTGACTAGTTTAGGTGGCTCTCACCGAGAGGTTTTCTTAAAGATCTTGTTTTGAGGTATATATATCTATACACCTTTGCATATGTATAGGGAATATCGATACCTTATGTAGTACTGTGGAACCGTTTTAAAATTTCTTTAAGTTAGGCAGAGATACTTCAGGATTAGGCATATAACAGTAAAGTTTGGATCACTCAAGTAATTTTTTTTTTAAATGAATCTTAAGGGTTTTTCTTTTTTCCCCAGTTACATACTGACCTGTTTTGGATGTGCGGAAGGCCTTTGGTGTGTGACCTCTTGAATATTGCCTCAGTTCCTCATAGTATTATTTCCCAGATAATGTTTTGTCTCTGCAGCTGCTTTCATATGAAAGGCAGTTCCAGTCTTGACAGGTTTAGCATAAGGTTTATGCTCTCAGAAACTCATTCTGGTCCAAATACTGCAGATATGCTTATGGGATAAAGGTTAACATGCCAATAGGGAATTCTAAAACTGTGCTTGCAAAATCTCCTGGTCATATGTTAAAGAGGGACTGATTTGGGAAGGCCTTGAGTTTTAATTTTGTTAGCACTTGTTTCTTCTCCATTCTGCAGTTGTGCTAATGTAAATGACAGTTAATAGTCAGTAGCAAAAAGGAAGAAGAAGGGAAGGGGAACAAATATGAAGAAAGAGGAGGAAAAGCAGAGGTCATCAGACCTGCGTCTTTTCAAATTACTGTTTTATTATCTGCTTGCTGTTAGAATGAGCAGAGGAGTGATAAAAGGAGGAAAAACAAGCACTGTGTGAAAACAGAATTCAAATTTAAATAGGAAAGGAAACAAAAGCATGCGTTGTAAGAGAGGGTACAGTATTTCTATCTGAATAGTCTCATTTCTGTGGAGTCCAGTGAAGCATTTATCTTTCCATATGTTTATTGAAGAAAAATGCGTTCATTGTAGCTCAGTAGTCAGTAAGTGAGGTGGAGAAAGACTGTACTAAGGTCATATTAAGAACAGATAGTTCCGCTTTTAATTTCTGAAATGCACACTCAAGTTTCTTTCATCGTAGTGCTACTTGTGGCAGACCTTTCTACTTTGCAGCGAAATGCTTTTCTTAAGCACTTAAAGGCTCTTGTATATAAAAGTAAATAGTAACACTGTAGCCTAAATATAAATAGCAAAGGAAATCTACTTTTATCAAATTAAAACTTATAAAAACTTGGACTTAATAAAGCAATCATCAGTCAGCTTGTTTGTGTTTCTAAACATTTTAAAATTATCATTATCATCTTGGGAAAACTTTTATTATAGTTTAATTATAAGACCATAAATACGTTCTTCTGTTTTCGATAACATTTCTGACACTTTTATTGACTTTTTACTGAGATTTTAATTGTTTATTTATATCAACATTTTTTCAGTGCACACCAAAGTGTGGCCCAGGATTCAAACACCGAATTGTTCTGTGCAAAAGCAGCGATCTTTTAAAAACTTTTCCAGTTGCGCAATGTCAAGAGGAAAGCAAGCCACCAGTCCGCATCCGCTGTAGTTTAGGCCGATGTCCTCCTCCTCGCTGGGTTACTGGAGACTGGGGACAGGTAAGATAGTTCATATAGGTAGTTATTGCTGTTAGTCTCCTACATATTAGCACCTTCTAAGGATAAGATGTTGCTGGAAATGGATAAGAGATGGTTCCCATGACTGAAAGAAACGCTGCTCCCCTGTGTGTCTCAAATTGAAATGTGATTCTGAATGATAGTTGTCTGCTGAACTATAAAGGATTTGCTGACAGCAATCTAGTTTCTACTGGATGAGTTTCTATATGCATTTTTAAAAAAATTAAATAGTCCTTATTACAGTTTTTTTGGAAGGGGATTTTGGGATACAGCAATGTTGCAAGGTTTAATATTTTTATAACACATTTAACTTCCTTGAGAAACATGATGGAAATACAAAGCCAATGCCTATTTTAGAGAGAGAGAGAGAGAGAGAGAGATCTCTCTGCCAGAAAACCTTTGAGTTCTACATAATTTCACATAAAATATGCTGAATTACCAGACAGGGAACTAAATTGTTACAGGACAGGCTGAATAGTGCTGCCATTATGCAGTGTTTCTAAATGTGATATACTGAGTTTCTGTCTCTCTTTATGTTTTTGTGTCTCAATTATGATCAATGGCCTATTTTTAAAATAACAAATGGATGTTTCAGTTTCTGAGTTTGCTGAGTAATTTGCCACTAATGAAAATAAAACACTAGCTGAACTAACCAGGGGACAATCATTTGTGGTATTACAGTCTCATCAGCTTTTCTTTTACGGTAATTGTTCAGATGTGCATTTATCTTAAATTGATATTGTACTAAAACCACTGTTTAGATATAGAAATTAAAAAATGTTTTGAAACAGCGAAGTATTTTTCTTTGAAAGATAGTTTCCTTTTTCCTTAAAAAAAGTCCTCTAGCAGATTTGAGTTCTTGTTCTCCTTGGTTTTTTTTCCTTTATTCTAAAGTGATTATTTCTCTCTTGAAAACATGCACTTAAACTCAAACATGATATATGAAATAGTGTAAATTATATTCGTATACCTCAAATCTGAACTGCTTGGGGAGCCAACATTGGATTGTGTTTTATTTTCTTGGAAAGACAAGTGCTCACATATACTGTCAAAAAAGAAAAATTCTAAACTATTTTATGAAAATTATTTTCTGTATTAACCAAATCCCTTCAGATGCCTCTCTTCTTTAAAATTTGTGCATGTGTACTGTTCCTGATTGCTTTCCTGTTGTCTTGTTTTATATTTAAAAATGGGATCCAAGTTGTTTTACTTTTTTATCTTTCTTATTTTTAGTGTTCTGCACAGTGTGGTCTTGGGCAACAGATGAGAACAGTACAGTGCCTCTCATACACCGGACAAGCATCCAGCGAGTGTCCAGAAACACTTAGACCTCCATCAATGCAGCAGTGTGAAAGTAAATGTGACAGTACTCCCATTTCCAACACAGAAGGTAAGTTTGCCATCTTAATAGAATTTATTCTGGAAAGAGTCAAGTGACGTGGTCAGTATTCCTGCATTAATTAATTAGTAAAAGTCTACATGACATAATCCCTCAGACTGTGAATGAATTGTAAACAATTATTTTCTAGTTAGTCGTTGTAGTTCAAAGGTGAAGTCAATAAAAACCTTAATACAGGTTCTTTGTTAAAAAAACACCCTTAAAATATGTAGGCTAAGTCATGGACAAAATACCATTGTTTTGTGTCATTAATTTTCCGGTCTTTTTATTGGTTCAATGGAAATGTCCATAATAGCAGGGGGAGCATGATATACTTCTCATCCGCTGACCTTCTGTCTGCTCCATCAGTGGTTAGCATAACAATGTAGTGGCGAAAATAGTTAATTACATGTTCATTGAAAGACTGGGACCACAGATTTAATGCTACACAGTGCTACAAGCCTGTTCTTATACTTTGACTTACTTGTCAGCTTCTTCTAATTAACTTTTAATTTCTTGTATTTATAATGCCTGTTTGAAATAATTACAGTATTTTTTACATGATACAGTCTAATTTAATGAGACTATTAACTAGCTTCATTATAACATACTTTTGCTAGAGGATATATTAGATAATAATGTCAAAATAAGCTTATCAATATTTATGAAAGGCTCCAGATCTGAAGTCATAAATTGTCCAAGCCAACCTATTAGGAAATGCTGTCTTCAAAGTAGAATTGGAGTGCTAGGAGGGAAAAAAAAAATTTCCTCATTGATTGTAAAAATTTAGAGTAGTTGCTCACCAGATGAGTACATTTCATTTTGTGTGGATGGGGCAAAGGAGTAAAAAATTATCAAAACACTCATGCCCCAAAATTAAGAAAGATTGCACAGCAATAATAATTCTTTTAAAACAGTTATTCCCTAAATTTTGAGTACTTGACCGCAATGTCACTAACACTGCTTCTTTTAACATAACTAATCCTTGTGCAGTATATAATGGAGTATCTTTTACACAGGTTCTCCAACTACATTGGAGTTTAATATACTGTTTATATGGAACAAATACTCTGATTTTAAATTTTTTAAAAAAGGCAGATTTATGTTACAGTCTACCCTGATTTGGTGTTCATTCAATACCTACTGTATCCATTCAGGTTCATGCCATAGATTCAAAGTTGTCATAAAAGTCTGTCAGAGGGAGATGTCTGTGATGAAATAGGAGCATACTAAAATCTTCCTAGAAATGCACTGATGATTCAGTGTATAAGCACCGTAATTTACAGCTTGGAAGTTTTAATTTTAAATAGGGACTTATCATCCCATATTGTCATTTGAAAAACATCTTCATGATAGAATTTTCCTTGGTTGTTTTAATTCCCATTTTTATGTTTAGTGCTTTCAACTAATCTTTAGGTGATGATTATAAAACTAGGAAACTTTCTGCCCTTTAAAGCTCAAAGGCTAAATGAAATTTTATTTTCAAACACAGATGTTGACTTTTTCCAAAGTAAGGAAGGTAATAAAGTACTTCTAAGTGGACATGATTTAGTTCCAGTCTCCTCTTAATTTCAGGAAGACAAGGTCATATTGTTATTTATAGTCATTACATTAGTAATTCTCCAATATTATCAGGAAAATATGCTAATCTCCTATAGATGAATACAGTCAGGCGTTTTCTGTGTGTGATCTATGTACACTGGGTGGCTGTGAACTTCTTTACAGTGGAACTGTGCAGGGTAACTGTGAAAAGTAAGCCTGCTGGTAGTAGTGTTTTTCAGGGACCTACAGCTTCATTGGAAAATTTTTGGGATCCACAAATAGAAAATGTTGAAAATCACTTACACAGTATTCCAAATGGACTTCAGCTCTTTGGCCTGCACTCTGAGTGGGCCAGGCGTGAGCCAGCTCCTTACTGACAGCCATGCGGCCTCATTAGCGCTGTTAGGAAGAATTGAGGGGAAAAAGATATAGCACAATCTCTTCCAGTAGATACAATTCCCAACACGTTGCCACTTACCATCCAATTTTTCTTATGTCCCTCATTGAAGGTATTTGCTGGAAACCACTGATTATTTGTAAGTGATGAATTGGCTCAAATGGCTCAAAAGTAAATGTAATCTCAAAATTCATTTAACAATTTAAAATGCCTACATCCTTTCAGAAGAACCTTGCTGCCATCCATGAAACACTAAGGGCTCTCTATCCCCAAATTAGCCAAAAATTTTGTCTTCAAGGTATTTTTTCAGTACTTTTGCAAGTATTTCTTAAATATATATTCTAATTTATGCACATTTGAGAGCTGCTATTAAATACTGAATATAAGAAGCACAAACTGAGGATATGCAGAAAAATGTGCATGTATTGCACATTTTCTGCCTTTAAAAAATCCTCTTAGACACAAAAGGAGCTGACATCTCTTGTGTTAGTAACGTGTTAGCCTTTAAACAGAGAGGCGTATCTTTTTCAGCATAAAGGAGATGTTGGAAAGCTTGTAAGATTTCGAGAGCTAACTAATCCTAAAGAGCACAACCATTTTTGGAAAGATAATACTATCAATGAAAGAAATATTTGAGTTCTGGTATTTCCTTGTGAATGTATTTGTGAAAGGGGCGTACTGTGCCTGTACACTCGCTTCTGTCTCTCTCCAGGTGCAGTGGGATGTGAACTGTGTATTAGTATTTGGGTTTCAGGGAAGGAGTCAGGTCTCTCAGAGGGAGGGTTCTGCCCCTTGGATGTGCATGTGCGTAGCAGAACATACATGCTTGCACACAGAGACTTTGTCCACATGCCACCTAGTAGCACTGCCTCGTGCTTTGGGCCCCACTGTGGCGCAAAAGCAACTTCAGCAACAGGTCATTGGTTTGCAGCAGGGTCAGACTAGCTGAGGGGATTCCCTTCCTATTTCAAATCCTAGCAAACCTCTTGATTCCCTTCACTTGCCAAACTCCGGTGCTCGCAGCCTATGGAAACCATTGAACAATTTGGACAATTTAATTCTGCTAACCCAAGATAAGAACATACATGTTTTTGAGGAAGCTTGAGCCACTCTCCGGTATGATCATCGTGTTGGTAAAATTTGGAAGCACTTTCTTGGGGAAAGTACAGGTTGTTTACATAAAATAAGACTCAAAATTTTGGGGATACAGAAATAGCTAAAGAAAGTTACAATATATTTTGTCAGATTTTACATCTGCTTTAGCTCTTTGTTTTCTTTAAACTCTTCATTGGTGATATAGAATATTGTAGATGGGGTTTAGATGGGCTGCCACTGATGAGGGTAACCTTGCATTTCCTGCTGCAAGTGAATTACAGGCAGCATGCACCACACGATTTGAAATGTATTCAGAATTTTTTTATTCTCTTAAGTATATATATCTGCCTGCTGAATCTAGACTGCTAAAGGACATCTGAACCTTTACCTGAAAAACTATCTATTTTTATGTCGTTTCAGTTTTCCTTGTATTTTGTGTGGTATGTCTTTGCAGTCTCTTTAGCAGAAGACACAGTGACATTCTGTGATTTTATTACTGTAACGTGATACTTAATATCATAATATTGTCTGATCTAGCCACAAAGTTCAGGAAGGGAGAGTTTAATGCATGTAGCTTACTGAAACTTATTAACAGTAGTTACTAGGAGCAAAAAGGGCTCTGCTAAACCTCTTCCATTCAACCACACTCCTGTGAAGAATAGGTTACTTCATCAGCCACCATATCTATTTCAAAACTGATTTTTAAAACAGAAGTTGTGGGCAATTTCCAGAATATTGTCTCACTGCTGTCCAAATGGCATTGCCTGAACAGGGTCCCGTTTTAGTCAAGAGGAGGAATAACTTAAAGAAAAATGAAATAGGATAATTTCAAATCCTACGTTTAGCAAAAATGCAGTTAGTGGCTTTACCTATATTTAACTAAATACAATGTGTATGAGGGTTATTTTTGAGATTGAGTGAACTTTTTACATCTTGTCAAGATCAAGTGAACGTTTTTATTCCTCACTTCATTTATAATTCGCCCTCTGTCTCTCCTATATTCCCAGTTTTCACAAACACAAGGACCTGAAATATTTCTGGAAGATACTTGACCTCTTTTGGGAACAGTTTTTGAAACTCAGTGAAACACAGTGACCATGTGCAGTTGCTTAAGAGAGAAATATGTCTGTTTCAACCAACTACTCCCCATGTCTTTTCTCCTGGCATCCAACTCTGTTTCCAAATTGAGAATTAAAAAATTAGAAAAGTAGTATATAAAACATTGGTTAGGTGGAGTAAAAAAAATTACAATGAAAGCACTGTATCTGTGTTAATGAAGTGAAAGTTTAAATCATTTCATGACCTCTGCTTATCTAGCTAAAAGCATGCATATTGCCATTATCAGAAATACCATTCAGTAAAGACCCTGAAGTTCAGCCTCACTAATGCTTTCCTAGACTCAAATACTAAAAATTCTCATCTGCACTTAACTTGCTACTACAGTATGCTTGCAGGCTGAACGCACTGTCCATAGCTACCTGTTCCAGAGCAAAAATAATGTACTAGGAGATTGTATGTAGAAGGAAGACAAATAGGAGTAGCTGAATGATTGTACATGCTGATTGTGTTTGTTTCACTATTACTTCTTTCTTTTCTTACGGGCTTGGTGTGCCTGTTGTCTCTTTCATATTTGGCTTACAGACATCTTGGAGTCAAGGACTGTTGTTCTGTCAGGCCTTGGAGCAACAGCATCCTGGCCTCCAGTCTTCACTTCTAGATGTCAAATCAATACAAGATACGATAATGGTCAAAGTCCTGCTAGTGCATCTCCTTTTTATTCACATTTTCTTTAATGTTGTAATTTGAGAAAGATTGTAGGAGGAAGCCAGTATCAAATGCAACCTTAAAAGAGTAAAAACTTACAGCATTCTTTTGAGACAAATAATTTTCTGAGAAATGAATCTAATTTCATTCTTCCCATCACTTAATTTTTGTAATTCAAACTTGCGGGGTTTACTTTTTCTCTGTATACATCTCTTCCATCTTCCTACATGTGAAGCAAAGCTCCTTGCCAAAGTCCTATTTTAATATCAATCTGGATGGAACTGTGCAAATACTTTTAACTAAAAATCCCCTATCAGGCATCTATCACAATATTCACTCCAGTGCAGAGGAAATCTGCAGCAGCAACATCTGAGCTGTAGAACCTGAGTGTACCCCTGAGCTCTCAGATACAGCTCTGTCTCCAGCTGTATTAGAATAAGAACTGGGCATGGAACAAACTATTGCATTCCCTGTTCCCACCTTCTTTCTACAGAAAGGAAACTGAGCCAGAGGAGAACCACAGCATATTCCAGCAGTGCTCCTGTAATGTACCCCCACAAGTCACTTTAGATACAACGTGTATGGGATGGAAAAGAAGAAATCCTTCCCTGGCGTGGCTGAGCTCTTGTTCTACCTTCCTGGG